GCTGTGCGAGCACGCCGCGCAGCGGCGCGGCGCCCGGCGCGGCCAGCCCCGCGGCCGCCCTGAACAGGTGGCCGCTCGCCGCAGCCAGCAGCTCCCCCCGCGATCGCCCGTCCGCGGCCCCCGTACCCGCGCTGCGGAGGCGGCAGGCGAGGGACACGCCCAACAGGAACGCCAGCCCCGCGTCTGAGGGCGCGCCGCCGCCGCCGCCGCCCGCCTGCGACGCCAGGGCGCACGCCGCCGCGAACTCGCGCGCGCAGAACAGTCGCCACCCGGCGCGCAGCGCCGCCGCCTCGACGCCCGCCTGCTGCTCCGTGGGGGCGTCGGGCCCCGCGGTGACGTCATCCTGGGCGCCGGCGACGTCATCGTTGGTGCCGCCGCCGGCCTCCAGGAAGCTGAGGAAGGCCGCGGCGGCCGGCCCGAGCGCGCCGCTGTGCAGCAGTGGTGCCCCTGCGCCGCCGGCCGCTGCTGCGGAGGGGTACGCATCGCAGAAGACGCGCAGAAAATGGGCCGCCAGGGGCTGCTCCTGCGGCAGCTTCCCGCCCCATCGCTGCTGCTGCTGCTGCTCTTGCTGCTGCCCAAACGCGACCACGCCGCCGCCGACACCGGCCGCCCGCGGCGTGAGGCCAGCGGCAGCCCCGCCGCCGCGCGTGGGCCCGCCCAGCTGCAGCGCTTCCAAATGGCTGGGCAGTGCCGCCGCGCCCCCACCGCCGCCCCCCGCGGCCCCCGACGGCGGCGCCGCCGCGGGCGTCTCGGACAGCCACAGCGCCATCGCCGCGCCGCGCAGGGCGGCCAGCAGCTGTGGCTCTAGGCGGCCGCTTATAAGCTCCTCGTGCTGCGAACCCAGGGGCGCCGCCCCCGCGCGCCCCATCCTCCGCACCACCCCCAGCAGCAGCAGCAGCCGCTGCGCCAGCAGGCAGCGGGCCGCGGCGGCCTGCAGCGCCGACGCCGCCAGGGTGGCGCCGAGCGCGGCGGGGAGCTGGGGGGAAGCTGCTGAGCCTGACGCCGGGGGGCGGTTGTCGAGGCCAAAACCGCCGCCGCCCTCTGGCGCCAGCAGAGCGGCCTCGGCGTAATTGCTGTGTTGGTAATGAGAGATCAGGGGAATTGTTCCAGGGATCCCGATGCGTTTTTGTGGGGGCGGGGGTGAGGAACTGGAAGGCAAGCCGAGGGTTTGCCCATGTTCAATGTTGTTAACCAATTGCTGCTGGCACAGTGTGGTGTTGTGGCATGCTGGGGAGTCGGCGAGAGGCACGAAGCCCGCAGCCGCCTCCTGGGCAGCCGTGCGCAGTGCGCAAGTTCGCAAACAGCCCCTGGGCGCCAGGATGCCACCGTCGCTGCAGCCCCTCCCTCTTTGCAGCGCCCGCTGAACTGCAGCCAATGCGAAAGCGGGTCGTCGAAGCGCGCCCTGCAAGACCGCCTGCCCCACCTGATGGCCCGGGCGGGGTCTGCCAGGCCCGCGAGCGCCTGCTGCACGTGCAGCAGCGCCGCCTGCCGCGCCGCGCGCCACTCCGCCAGCCGCCGCCCCGCGTCGCCCTGGGCGCTAGCGGCCGCAGGGTGCTGCCGGGAGAGGGCACGGCCGGTTTAAGGTGGGGTGAGGTGCAGGCTTGGGAAGTGGTCGCCTTGGTGCAGTGGTGATTATGGAGGGGAGGACTGCAGCGCCAGCGTTGGAGCGACGACAAAGACTGCCTGGGTTCGCGGCTGGCGCTGCCTCCGGCACCTGCATCGCCGCCAAACGCCGCCAGGCCACCCTGCTTCCCAAGCCCACAGCCCCGCAGTCCCGCCCCTGAAGAACAAGAAGGAACTTGCAGCTTGGAGGGACAAAGCCGGGCCTCCAACAGCCACAGCCAGCACGACAGCCCGTCGAGCCCCTCCCACTGGGTCAAAAACCACCCCATAGTCGGTGTCACACACACACACGCACGCAAACACAAACACACACAAAAGCGCGACACACGAAAAAACACCTACACACCTGGCTGGGTCCATACACCAGCAGGTCCACGAACCCCGGCAGCAGGCTGCCCTCCAGGTCCACCCCACCCGCCGCCAGCCGCGCCATCAGCCGCTGCGCCGGCGCCCCCAGGGCCTCCCCCACTGCCCGCAGGCACGACCGCACCGCCTCAGCTTCTGTTGACGCGCCGGCGCCCGCGCCGCCGCCGCCGGCCTCCGCCTCGGCG